GAGGGGAACCACAGGTTTTGTACGGCGCAATGTCCAGGCCAGCAGAGTTCAGATGGTCCACACTCACAAACCCCTCGCAAGTTCCACACTCAATACGGAACTACTTCATCATGTGATTTACAACCCGGGAGGGGTCGTCGTAGGGTGTTCCAACGGCCGGCTGATTCGATCACACCGGAGATAGACTTGAGAGCTTGACACCAAATTTTATTAAGATAACATTTAGCGACGAGGGGCTAGATACAATTGCGGAAAATGTCAGCATAACTCTCGGAGACAATGAAAGACACTGGTAGGATCCTTAACCGCACCTCAAGTTACTGGCGAAATCACCTCACGAGAAAGTCCATCAGTGGCATCGAACAACTGTTCAGTGGTTCATGTTTGACTTGCGGGCAGAGCAGATGCCCAACCAGACCAAGGGGAGATGGTCTCTTCAGTTTTCCGGATCATCCGTGGCGCCTAGGGTGGCCCTCGGCTGATAACGAAACCACCCGACCATACCGGTGGCAGCCGGCTGCTAGACTATTATTCAAATAGGATAAAAGTCTATGAGGGAGAAACCAGACGCTTCAAAAATATTCAGTCTTCGTGACGCTTCGTTTAGATTACGGAATGCCAGTTTGGACATCATGAATAAAAAAATTGTTGACCTCCTCGAACACGTCCGACGGATGGCGAACGAAGATGGTCGATGGCCTTAAGGACTAACCCTAACCGGGCAGATTTAAAGAGCTTGACGTATTTCCGTTGTTTATCAGACACAGCGTAGCCTGTTCTGAACATTTCTAATAATCCGGGCCATGGTTCCTCCCTGCGATCGGAGGACTTATTTGAGTTTGTCTGTAAAGTCCACTTGAGCTGTCAGTATTACAAGGTCACAAGTGAACGAACTCGATTAGACTTCTGTTAGGACGGCCCAGTACGCGAATTATCACTTGGGCCGTCCTGAGAGCAAGAGAACAAAGGATGCAGAACGGGACGAGAACGCGAACTCCAAAAGGGCTGACACGCGAGGACAGCCGCCGGCCGGGTTCTGAGATCACGCATGACAAGAGGCCACGAAAGGACGCATGTACATGCGGGCGTCACTGAGGGCGCGACGTGCCATCCTGAGGACACCCCATGGTGGCTGTCTGCAGAGGGAACAAAAGCCATCAGTCCTTAAATACGCTGCCACTGCTCGAGGCGGCACTCTGCTGCTGCTGGGGACATAAAATTCTGCTGCTAGCGACACGAGACTCTGTTGCTCTAGACGAGAGACTGCTGCAGAGACACCGACAACAGAAGACCGCTGCTGAAAGACA